CAAAACGGTCCTTGAAATTTATAAAGCGTGCAACATGCTTCTGTTGCCGATAGAGAGGTTTAAGTTTACCTTTAAATGTACTACCCCATGCAATGTTTGCATAGTTAATATGACTGTGATTAAAGATTAGTATTATTGAATTAAGGTACGTTTTATTAAGAAGGCTTTTTGCTTTGTATAAAATACCTATACTCTTAGAAATTTTACCGCACAATTTTACCCAAAAATTTTGTCACAAAAACTCTTTCAATTATTATATTATTCGTATAAAGAATAGACAAGTTACTCGGCAGCAGGTACAGTTTTTACCACTTCGATGGAAAATAATCCATTTAGTTTTATCAATATTTAATGACAATTTATTTAATCAAAACTATTTAGAAATGTTTACTAGTTCAATATAAATAGCTCAATGACTTAATAGTACAACCATCTTTACTATTGATTCTACTTCCACTTTATGGTATGAAGTGATTATTTTGGTTATTCTATATTGGTTAAAAAGACAATGTAATTGATCTATAGAGTTTTCATATGGTCTTTAAATTGCTTATTAACTCTAACAACAAGCTCAGCCAAATAAATGAATAAAAAGTAAGGCAAAAAATGAGTTTATAAAACTTTACTTATAGTTAGCTTTGATTCAACTATAAAACATTTGTTGTAGATTATTTTAATAGGGTTACCATACGTCCTCCTTTTTCGTAGGAGAGTTTACTAAACTACATGGCAGTCAATGAAACTAGAATTTAATCGCGGCGGCAAACGTAAAAATTAAGAACTAAATGTATTTGGCAACTAAGAGCAAAATCATATTATAAAGTACGCTCCTTTGTAAAAAGAGGACGTCTGGTAACCCTAATTTTAAAGAATTAATTTCGTAATAATCTTTGTAAAATGGAAAAAGTTTATAAAACTCCTGAAAAGCTTTGGCACGCTTTTCATTTAATGAAACCAAACAAAAGCCCTGTTTTTAATGATATAAGCCATATTTATATGGCTATGTAATTCAGAGTAGCCGTGGTGCAGTGTCCCAAACAAAAGCCTCTTAATATAGAAAAGTGTAAAATAATGCATGTTGGTAGCAAACAAAAAAAGTCATCACAACGATAAACGTTCTTAAATATTGCCAACCTTAGATTCAAGTCACAACAATTGAACATGATCTTGGTATAATGGTCTCAAACTACTTAAATGTTTCACCTACCTACAAAATGAAAAGGTTAAATCTTTAAATTAAACATTTTATGAATAACAATATTTTAAAAATACAACTTGTAATCATTTGGATTTTTAAAATATTAAATTTGTTTCAAATAATTTTATTTTAACACCATATATATATATATATATATATATATATATATATATATATATATATATATATATATATATATATATATATATATATATATATATATATATATATATATATATATATATATATATATATATATATATATATATATATATATATATATATATATATATATATATATAGACACACACACACACACACACACACACACACACACACACACACACACATATCTTTATTTATTTATTTATTATAATGTAAAATACTATTTATATTTGTTTGTTACACTTGTAACAACGTTTATAGTATTTATTATAGTAAGATAAGTTTTAAAATTAAAATATTTTTCAAAAGATATTTTAAATTATATAGTATATATAATATAAAAAACATTATAGATAGAGAGTTTCTAATTTGATATTATGGAACTATAGATTTATATAATATAAAATGATTAGGCAATGCAAAATTGTATAAAGTCTTCAGTCTTTATTTTCTCCATGTTCATCGTTTTTTCTCGATGTTTTACTAGATTGCACCATTTCTTCCTCTCATTGTTTATTTTTGTTCGTATAGTTTTATACGAAAACAGAACAAGTTCTTGAAACTTTTCTATATATTTGCGATCTAAATATATGAATCATAATATTTAAAGGGATCCCATACTTCTGTGACATGTTGTGAGAATGATTAAAAAAAAATGTTTGGGCTAAATTTTTTTGATTAAAACAAAAGAATCAATGCATACAAAAAAAAAAACTAGTTTTTTTATTTTTATTCAAAGCTTGTCTTCCCCATTTTGCTGTGGACCAAAAAGTCAGCGTAATATATGATGCAATCTACAGACTTGATAATTTATTCAAGTGTGTTTTATTTCTAAGAGTTTCAGTACATGGCGCCGTTGTTTTTTTTTGTTTGTGTAAAAGATTGATTATGTGAACAAACCAATAAGTCAATGACGCTATGTACGAAAACTTTAAAAATAAAACGCACTTGAATAAATTATCAAGTCTGTATGTTTTTTTTATAAACTAAATATTTTAAGTTTCAAAATATTTGCAAGGCTAAATTATAATACTTAAAAGCTACAAATAGCAATAAATGTCAGTAATTAAACTAAAAAAACTTGTTTTACCAATGAATTGAATGTAATTTTATTAAAATAAATTATAGTTTTGTTTTGATATACTTTTATAAAAATTATTTATAAAGATGATTTAAACTTCGTGGTTTAATGCTTAACAGCGTAAAAAGTTAAAAAACCATCATAAATATTATTTGTAAATAGTATTCATATTTTTATACAGTTAAAACTTGAAAAATACTTATATTTATATATAATACAAAAAAACTTGAACTTAGCTAATCCGAATATTTTGTAGGCAGTTGAAAATGGCATAAACTTAACTGCAAATCATAACCTAATTTCATAAAGCAGCTGTAAAAAAGTATATATGCAAAAAAACTAAAATTCATTTTTAAAAGAAGAACAAACAATGACTACAAAATGAACCAATACCAGTTCAATTTGTAATTGATAATAAGAAAATTCTACTAACTGCTTCCATTAATAAAGGAAATTCTGCTCTTATCTAACTGTAATATCTGGCAGGCCCCAGGTGAATTTTGATATTTTAAGTAGTAAAACAAAGAAAAGAAGATTGACACCATTAGTTATGGTACCATTATGCGGTAGTGGTGTAGTGGTCCCTGGTAGTACCGCGCTCAACTCGTTTCTCCGCCTTGTTTGTCAAGGTTTGTGTTTCGGAGTTATAGAGTTGAGAGAGGGTTATAGCCACAAAATAATTAGCCTCCTCGTCTATAGTGGCCTTATCGGCCTTGAGGAGGTGAATTAAAATAAAAAAAATAAATAAAAAAAGTTGCATCATATTCATCTTAAGAGCTATTGTTTGCATCAGGTTAGTGCTTGCGCCAAGATAGTAAAAAAAAAAAGCTAAAGCTGTTTTACAATTATTTTATTGGTTTAAACTTTCTATGGTCATAACTTTTGTAATTTACAATATTTTTCTACAAAATTTAAAATCTGTCAATAAATATAAATTTAGTTTAAGATAGTAAAATGGAAAAATTTACCACATTAGTACACTCATTTTGTGCAGGGGGGGGGAAGGATAAATGTTTAAGAAATTTTTTTGTTCCCAGGCCTCCACCAACCCAAGTTTTTGCAAAGCTTCCTTATTTGACATATAAACATAATGAAGTTTAGAGTTTGTGCTATGTGTGAAGTGTCTTCTGAAACATCAAAAAATCCTGTGGGCTGCTTCTTAATTGGTCAATAATAATTCTTTTTAAAAAATTTCAATACTTTTTCAAGCAATTTTGTTTTTCTGTTTAAACCATATTCTTTACCTCCTTTGTAAATCTTTACTCTTCAACTTCTTTTCTGATTATTTGGAACTTTACCTTCAATTGCTTTAATTTACTTCAATTGTTTGTTTTTCAAAAGTTTTTTTTAACTTTTTTATCCAGTAACATCTCTTTTTTTTTTATAAACATTTAATTTTCTCGCTCAGAGCAATATTTTCCTCTGATCCTTTTTTGTATATAGTTTGTTTTTTGTTTTGTAAAGCTAAGTATTTTTATTGTGATGCCTTCAATAGATATTTATTGTTATTTGTTTTGTAAAGCTAAGTATTTTTATTGTGATGCCTTCAATAGATATTTATTGTTATTTGTTTTGTAAAGCTAAGTATTTTTATTGTGACGCCATCACTATTTTTCTTACATATTTTGGTATGAAATAAATGCATTGTTACAAAACAAAATGGAACTATATCAAAATGAATTTATGAATATTTTTATTACATTATTGTTATTATTATTATCATCATTATTGTTACTATTATTATTATTATTATTATTATTATGATGATGATGACGATGATGATGATGATGATCATGATCATGATCATCATGATCATCATCATCATCATGATCATCATCATCATCATCATCATCATCATCATCATCATCATCATAATAATAATAATAATAGTAACAATAATGATGATAATAATAATAACAATAATGTAATAAAAATATTCATAAATTCATTTTGATATAGTTCCATTTTGTTTTGTAACAATGCATTTATTTCATACCAAAATAAAACCCAACCAAGCATGATTTTGTCTCAATATTAAATTATAAAAAATATTAAAACAAAAACAAATTGTAATATCAGACCTGGCCATTCTGCATCTTTTTCTAAATAGTTTTGAAACCATTTAACAAACAAGGTTTCATAATCAACTGTCCAGCGACAATATAGCCTATTTTTTTCATTACTTTCTAAAACAAAAGTAAAGAACGAGAACTTTACTTTTGATAATTTTATAGTAAAAAAGTTTAAATGAAATAATTTTTAATCTCTAAAAAATACAATTGAAGTTTTCCTTATACTCAACCTAAATTTTGATTAAGTTTTAATTGAATTTGCTTAAAATGGAAAAAACTAAAAAATTTCAACTTACCAAAATTTGGACTGGATTGTATTAGTTCATTTTTAGCATTTTTATTTGAAGTTGAAAACTGAAGTCCTAAAATGTAAGTAGGTTTTATTTAGATTTTAAAAGTTTAATTTTTTCATTTTTAAAAATTTAAGTTAGTTGTGAAAAAAAATTTAAGTTGGTTTCAGTTCAATAGCTTTTGACTTACCTTTCTTGTTTTCAGCATCACATTTTGAGTTATCATACTCATATAACAATTCATCCCTGTCATCATTTTCTAAATAAAAAATTTATTAGCTGTTTATTTTTAGTTTATTTAAGTTATCATTTCTGTAAAATTCTTTTCAATTTTTTATTATTTTACTTTAGTTAATTACCTATTTATTTAGTTAATTACCATTTATTTTCACTTATCGATTAGAATAGTATTTAAAATTATGAAATAATTTGAATATTTGTGTTATCTAGTGTGAAACCTCATGGTTATCTGGCAGCATAAAATGACCTGTTTAATCAAAGGGCAACTTTAATTTTGAATAAAATGTCTTTCAGTAGCCCAGCAAGATGATCAGACAGTTTTTTAGTTACAAAAGAGTGTTAATTAATAAAACCCGATTTTAAATTATGGAGTTTTTATTCCTTGTGATTATTTAAAAGAAACCTTTAAATAACCATTTTGGGTACACTACGTTTAAAAGTGTACATAACTTATACACTACATGTAAAAATGATTACACTGCAGTGCATTTTACATCGATCGTATTTTGAAAATTATATGTTTAATAATGTTTCAAAGTGCGACTAAAAAAAGTTTTAGATGATTTTTTAAACATTGTTCTTGCATTTGGAAGCATTTTTTTTTTAATTTAAAACGCAAATTTATTCCACAAAATGTAAATTTTCAAAATGTAAAAATTAATCATGCATGTGGTAGTTTTTAAAAAAATCTTCATAAATTAAATTACATTAAAAGCTTAATTTTTTTTAACATTCAACATATTTAAATCTGATTGAATATTGATATAATTTTATTCTTTTTATAGAAAATTTTTTTAAATAAAATTCTTTCTATTTATAAAATGTTTTAAAGAAAGTTTTAGAAAAAGTAGAAAAAATTATTGTTTTTATAAAAAAGTTTTTTTTTTTTTTATGGCTATTCTCAAACTATTCCTCAATATAATTTTTTTTATTAACAATTTATTTTTAATTTAACAGTTCATATTAGTGGTAGAAGTAACAATTCATACTAGAAGTTTTAGCAGTAAATCATTTAAATTTTTTTTTCAGTTTTTTTACCAAAGAAAAAATACCCAAAAAATAAAAATACAGAACTACTGATAGGCATACCGGATGACTCAACTAGGAAAAAGGTTCCACCCCAGTTGATATATAAAAATATGAAAAATATTTTTAAATTACATAAACAATTCACTTTTTTAAATCATTTTAAGAACTTTTTTCATACTTGACATCACTCTATTTTTGCTAGGTTAAGTCTTTGCTGGTACCATATATTTTGTAAAAATTTTATTATTCTTTTAAAATAATTTTTATATTAAATTATGTTAAGTTAATGTTCTTTTCATAAAATCAACAAAATATGAATTTGTCTAATTACTTATTTTATTATATTTCTATAAAAGCAATGATAAAACATCTATCGCGAAAAAGTACAAAATATTTAAATTATTTCCTAAAAAGAATTTAACTATATATAATAAATTTAATTATATATAATAAATAAAATAATACATTACAAATTGTTTAAACAATTTATGATGCATGTTAATTTTGATATTAAAATTAAAAGAATAATTAAATTAATTTTTTAAAAATGTGCTAAAAACTTTTTACATTACCATAGTTGTTAATAGGTTGCATATGATCTATTTTAGCAAACTTAGCTGGGCTTGCACATAGTTGACCTAAAATATTTTTAAACCTAGTGTAAACATCTAACCTTGTAAAGTAAAAAATTAAGGCTATTATAATAATGAGTAAAATTATAATATATGGCTTAATACCTTTATCAAGGTTAGACAATCTTAATCCAGTTTTTGCGAGCTGCATTATTGCAGGTGGTGCTTGATATGTGTTTGTTTATGGCTTCACTATGACCCATATAGTCATAAAACAAGTTTCTTTCACTATCTGTCATAGAAATGGAAGCCATTAAAATACTGATTCTGTGTCTGTTTGTAGTTGCAGTAAGCTTTTTTTTGTTTTCAAGGGGTAGATTTTGACAAACACTAGTTAGTGCATGCCACCCAGAGCAACGGCTTTCCAAATTTTTTCCACTTGCAAAAACATATGGGTTTTCAAGATTTATTCCAACATTTGTTTGAATTTTAATGTCTGATAAAATTCGCATTGCCTCTATTGTGTCTAGAGGAATAAAAATTGAAACATCTCTGTTTCCCTTTCCAATTTGATAAGCGATTTTGATCTTGCTAATACTGCTATCAGAATTGTTCCTTTGTTGATCCAGCCACACCTCTTCATCAGCATCCTTCCGATCACTTAGAAGCAATCTTGCAAGCTCACCACCTCTTCTTGCATTAAATATTGTCAACCTTGTAACTGTGCAATTCCTTAACAACACAAAGTAATGCAAATCCCACAAGATAATTTTGTTGTTAACTGTTTTTTTAATTGTTTCTATTGTGTAATTTCGAAGATTTTCTATGTCATTTTCAATTGGCAGGTTAACTGGTTTTTTGAGCTTTCTATTTCTTCTTGAAACTAGATCATTATTTGCATCTGCAAATATGCTGTCTTTTTTTAGTTTAAAAAGCTTTAAGAAATTGCAAATATTATCTGCTACTTTGTTGTTTTGTCCAACAAGCTTTTCAGCTGCATTTAGTATTAAATAGCATAAAGCATGTTTTAGTCCTGATTTTTGTTCTTCATTTTTAGATGAAGTATAATTTGAAATAGCTGAAAAGAGATGTCTAAAATTTAACCTGAAAAACATGTCTGTTGCATTATTGTATACAGATTTAACTTCAAATTTTTTAAAGTTTGTATACAAGTGGGCCAATCTCCTCATATCTGCTCTTACTAATCTTCTTAATTCGTTTTGTTTATCTTTTTTTCTTTTTATTTTATAATAAAGACAGGATTCAATCATTAAAATAGTTTGATAGTTTATTACAATTTTTCCTATTTCATCATCTCGTAGTTTTTCAATTATATTATTTTTAAAATCTTCACTCAATTCTTTTATACAATTATTATCCATAGATGTTATTGGTAAATAGATTACAGAGGTACAAGAGTTTTCACTGCATTGATTTTGGTGTCTTTCAAAATATGTGCGAACATAAAACCCAAAACATCCTGTGCACATTACAGGTTCAGCGTTTGTTTTAGAAACTCTCTCTCGTAGATAAGTTGGATTTTTCTCTGATAGCTGTTTTTGGTTGTATTGCATAATACCAGTTTTTCTGAATTGCTGAAAAAGTTTTTTCTTCGTAATTTTGTTATTTGATTTTATATTAATAATTTTTTCATTTTTTGGGTGTTTATTCAAAATGTGTCTACTTAACTTGGTATGCAGTTCACCACAAAATGGGCAGACTTTTGTTGGTGGTTTTCTTCGTATCTTTTTAATAAATTATAATAGGTTACACAAAAAGTTTTAAAAAAAGCATTTAAAAAAAAAATTTATGTTATATAACTTTTTGAAAAAAAATGGTTTATTATTATAATAAAATAAATTGATTTCTATCATTCAATATTCTATTTATGTATGAATAAATGTTTGACTTATGATAACATATTTCATTATGAAATTATCCATTTTGCATTAGTTCACTTTTTGTTTTCATTTTTTTGATTTGTTCTTAATATTTTTTATTTAAAAAAATATAATAACATCTTGCATTTAATTGTAATTTTAACTTAAGTAACCACATAAAAAATTAAAAACAACATTTATGTTATAAAAAGATTTTGAAATTTTAGTTTGCAACATTCTTTATGTTTACCTTCTATTTTTTCTTTTTAAATATTTAACTATTTTAAATTATACTTCCTATTATTTAAGTTATAGTAACCTTTAAGCTCAATTCTATTTATTAGTTGTAACAATAATGCTAATAATTTCATCCCTAAATATATTATTTGAATTAAAAGTAGAAACTTTTTTTATAAGTTTAACTTAAGCTCTTAAAAGTGATTATGAGCATGCTTTTGTTGCAGGTTATTAGTTTTTTATTTACATTGCTTAATTCCACTAGTTAGCAAACTAAGCAAAACACTCAAAGATCAATAAGTTCTTGTAGCTATTACACAGTTTACTAGATTTTACAAAAGTAACTGATTATATTTCATTAACCTATACAAAACTCAAGTATGTTTTAAAAAATATTACAAAATAATCAGTTAAAAATTATAACCTTTTTAGTTGTGAACATTTTAATATAGTTTTCTCGACAGCATCAACTTCTAATTCTAAGATGTAATTTTAGTTTTAAAAAACTTATATTTACTTTGTTTTTCAAAACTTTTCAAAATTAAGTCTATTTAATTAAATTATTGTCTAGATTCTTACATATTAAAGGAATATCTTTGGTTACAACTGCACCCATATATTTTTCAATCTAAACAAAATGTAAGCAATTTACTTTACAAAGTTTCATTTATATTAATTTTTTTCACTATACCTCATGTCATCTTTTTTCTACTAATAATTTAACCTTATTAACTCCAATAATTTAACCCAATTAACTAATTTTTTAGTAAATACACTACACTAATATCTTTAATCTTGTTTATTTTATAATTAGATATTTGTAATTTAGGTGATAAAAGTGCTGTCTTATTTTTCTATAATATTTCTATAATATTCTATAATATTATAATTCTAATGTATTTCTTTTGATATATTTTTCAGTATATTTATATCGTATATATAGTATATTTATATAAAGTATATTTTAAGACCTGAATTAAAACAAGTCGCATCATGTTAAGTTAATTAAGTTTAATTATAAAGTTCAAATCTATTAATCAAAGTAAAATTTAAAATGATAAAAAGATTTTTTTTTTTCAAAGTTAATGTTAATAATAAGAATAAATATTTTGTAAAATTTAATAAATAATATCATATTCATAAGAAATATATAGTCTGGTCACTCGGGTCGTATTATTTGATTTTTCTAATATTGGTTAAAAACACTTGAAAACTGTCGAACGGCCGGGAACAGAGTGCACAAAATATGGAAACGGACATAGATTTCAATAGTGAATTTGATATTAAAACATTTTTTTTTTCGAAAATGATTTTCTTTTTGAAGACAAAAATTTTAATAAGGATTTAGACGCCTTGGTGTTGGAGTTGTCTAGTGAATCAGTTAAAAGTGCAATTTCTTGCACAATTTGCTCTAAAAAGTGCATATCTCAAAGAGGCCTAACAAGGCATACAAATTCAAAACATCAAAGTATTCCTTTGGATTTAACATTATAAAATTCTAAACCACTTATTCTTCTTAGCGAATTTAAAAATCTACTCGATAAAAGCATTACTACCTTAATTGACGACAAATGCTATCCTGATTTGTATAGAAACAAGTTGAAAATTAATCATGCAATGCTGTTAGAAACTTCACAACAAACTATATCTGTTTTAGAGACAACAATAGCTGGTTTTAAAGCTAATGGCAATGCAGAAAAATTTTATCCTCAATTTTACAAAAGTATTAATTGTGATAAAGGAATTTTCAATAACATTCTGACTAAAAAAACAACTAGACTTCTCGGCTATGAACTATGCAATCATGTTTTAGCGTTTCTTACAAACTCATTTTACAATAATTCTTTTATAAATTTAAATGATTGATCGTCTGTTGAACTTCGAGATAGAGGTAAAGAAATTATCTTGTATCTAAGTAGTTATGTATTTAGTACATTTTATTGCAGAATTCGCAGTTCGCGGTTATGGCAGGAAAAGTTAGGCACAGACTGCCTTTCACTTCTTAATGCTGGTAAAATAGAACATTTTGTTAAGAATCCTGAAACATCCAATGAGTCTTACCATAAATTTGTTAATGCTAAAAATCAAGGTGGTTTGTGAAAAGTGTCTCCTCCAGTCATACAAATCTTTACAAAAGTTGAGGTTCTCATTTGCCAGCAAAGTAATGGTTTTGTAAAAAAAATTGATTCAGAACTGATTGTGACCGAAATTTTAAAAAACTGCGTTGTGATGCAAGTATATCTGAACTTCGTAGTCTTTGCACAAATCAAGTATCCAAAGAACTGTCGTTAAACTTATTTTATCATCTGGTTACACTTTATGTTAGAGTAAGATCTTTTTCATATGCAAAAGAAAAACTAAGTATCCACAAACTTAAAGAGAATCAAACAAATTCGTTCAAAAATGAAAAAGACATCAATTGGATTGGAATAAATAGTTTAATAGAATATCACATTCAAAAACGGCTATTTTCATAGCCACAAATTTCATAAAAGCATACTTGGCATAGTAACACTGTTATTTGTCATAAAAAATATTAATTAAAAAAAAAGCTTTTATTTTATTTGTCTGCTTTGATTCCTGATATAACATATTATTATATATACATATATATATATATATATATATATATATATATATATATATATATATATATATATATATATATATATATATATATATATATATATATATATATATATATATATATATATATATATATATATATATATATATATATTTATATATATATATATATATATATATATATATATATATGTATATATATATATATATATATATATATATATATATATATATATATATATATATATATATATATATATATATATAAATTAGTAGAAAATCACTTGACAAAAATTAATTTCATTTTACACTGTGTTTCATCAACAAAGACTCATCAGAATTTCTGATTTCTGATGAGTCTTTGTTGATGAAACACAGTGTAAAATCAAAAAAAAAATTGTTAAGTGATTTTTTACTAATTTGTAATTGCTCTGTTCTTTTAAGAACATTGAGCACTTGATTTTGAAGAATACATGTTTTTAAAAATTGTTTAAATATATATATATATATATATATATATATATATATATATATATATATATATATATATATATATATATATATATATATATATATATAAATATATATATATATATATATATATGTATATACTTATATACATTTATATATTTATATAAATATATATATATATATATATATATATATATATATATATATATATATATATATATATATATATATATATATATACATATATATATATATATATATATACATATACATTTATATATATATTTTTTTCTTCAAAAGTATATCAACCTGGGTCTCAAAAGAACCAGAATTTTTGTTTAAAAAGAAATTTAAGCAATTTGTTTTTATTTAAAATTATTGCTCTTTTGAGGCCAAGGTTGATATGATAAACTATAAATCTTTTAAATTCTTGTTATACGACATTTTTATATGTTGAATTTGATAAAAATGACTGCATATAAGCTTTTTTGTTTTTAATATCAGTCAGCGAAATATTGTAAATATATAATTATATCAAAATATATTTAAAACAAAAAAGTTTATGTGCAGTCATTTTCATCAAATTCAAAACTTTAAATGAAATTAGGACTGAAAATATCAAAATCTAAAAACAAACATTCAAAAAACAATTTGAGTTTATAGTCTTAGAAAAATATCATATTTTTATGAAGAAAAATTCTAGTCCTCTCTTGTGAGATCATATATATAAAGGAGGCTCCAAGCTGAACTGGATCAAGATTAAATTATGACACCATATACCCAATTGAATAGGTGTCAAATAAAAGGTTCTGTTAAGGTTTCTTACTTTACAGATAATATCCTCAGAGTAAGCCTCAGAGTAGGTAGGAGTAGAACCTCAGATCTATTGCAGCTAATGCAAGTGATCTAACCATTACACATAAATAGACTTTCCCATGCTCCCAAATAGGGGGTAAGGCTGCAAATTTAGGAGCTTTTTTTCTAATTTTAGAGGATCATAAACCAAATTTCATGAGCTAGTTGCTTGTTTACATTGTAACAAAAGTAAAACAAACAAAAAAGTAAGTCTGCATAATAAACTTTTTTATTTATTATTTAAACATATTTACTTTATTATTTAAACTATTTCTCAATTAACTAATCAATATTTTATGACATTTAAAGTTTTTTAAAAGATTTGTGGCTATGAAAATAGCCGTTTTCATGCAAAAATTATTTGTTATCAACAGTACAAGGAGACATAATAGAGTTTTTTTAGTAAATTGATTTAAAAATCAACTTTTTTTATCATTTGATTTTTCAGAGGAAGTCCATTTTCTGTGTGGTATGTGTCATACTCTCCTCCATTGATGTTTTGTTTGATTCATTAAAACTCAGACAGTTACCTGCAATTGGGTGGAATATATGTTGATTTCGAATAGTATTATCATTGAATCCAAAATCAAACAAAGAAGGATTATCTTTTCTTCTACCAATTGACCGTTGTTGTCCAAAGTAATTTTCTAAAAGATCGTGACAAAACTTTTCAGTTAATACATAACTTACATTACTGTTAATTAAATATTTGATAAGTTCAACAACAGAATCAACTGTGATTTTTAAACCTTCATGGGTTTGCCAAGTAATAAACATATTACTTCTATCACTTTTTGAAAAATTTCCAGATTCGATAGAAAAAAGCCAATCAGAAAGATATTTAAAAAAATTTTTTTTTAGCCATGTAAATCAAACATCATTTGTATCAGAAAATGATTTTCAAAAACGAGTTGCATTTTAATAAATAATCATTTGTATTACGAACATTCAAGCAATCAAAAAAATCATTAAAATATTTGCAAAACTGTGCAGTTCCAGAAGTATCTGATGGCGCATAGATTTCAAATGCAGTACTACATGAATTACTTAAAACTTGTGCAGCTAAACGAACATCCAAAAAAAAGGCTGTTCCTTGCTGTTTTAATTAAATGAGGGACATCAGAAATAAAATAAATAAATCTTTTATCACCATCATCAGCAAATAAATTTTTAGTGTGGTAGGTCACATCAACATGACCATTGTTATCAACTTTCTCATTCAGATCAAAATGCATTTTAAAAAATTTTCTATTTGATGATGCTCCATCACAAGTAACTGCAACTACTTTTAGGCCAACAGAGATTTCTAAAATGCCTACAGCTTTCCAAAATAGAGAAAATAATTGCACTGATGTAATATTTATAGTAGCAAAGTTTGCAAAACTATATTTGAAAGGATTTACAATACTACTTATTAAAAAAACTAATACATGAGAAGCAAGTTTGTCTGCTTGCTGTAATGTTGTAAAATTAACACTAGGATCGCCCAAATCAACATAACCAGTTAATTCTCCAGAATGTTTGTCCCAAACAAGATTTTCTTGAATTTTCATTTCATCAAGAACTAGGACAATAAATTTTTCTTGAGCTGAAAAATGTTTGACTTTATTTTTTAATTCTTTTATTATATTTTTATTAAACCCCAACTTTGGCTTCACATAATTTTTATAGTCACGTAATCGCCTACAACTTGGTAAAACTAAGAAATGAAAGAAACTAAGAAATGAAAAAAACTAAGAAAAGAAAGTTTTTCTCATTTAACCGTACTGCTTCATAAGCAGCTGGTGATTTTACAGCTAATCCCAAACAGTAACATTTTAAGGCTGGATGATAGCGAATCCCTTGCTTTGAGCTTTTTAAATATATTTTTAAATGGAGAAACCTGGATTTTTATCAATTTCTGCCATTATTTGAACTAAATCGCTTTCAATACTTTAACTTATAGCTAGTGATGAATTTTCAATCTCCTGCTTCATCAAAGCTAATTCCTTTTTTAATTCTTTATTTTCCAGAGGAACACTCTGTAATGTAAGTTTCAGACGATCTGGAGATGTAAATTTATTTGGTGCATTTAATTTAGCAGGGATACAAGCATTGGCAACATTTTTTTTCAAACTTATGATTTCACTTTTTTCAATCCTTTTGCATTGAGAACAGCATAACATTAACTCAATCAGCATAATACATGATTGAGATCGAAAATACTCTGTCTGATTTAAATCACTCCTAGATGAAAATAAATCAAAATTTTTTGAAATACAATGTTTAATATAAAGATTTGATTTCAAAGCAAATACATCAGTTATTTCAGAACAAAGGGTAAAAGAAGTAACAACAGAAACAAGATTTGAAACTGAAATATGTCGCATTGATTTTCTGTATTTTGCATATATTAAATGATCATCTGGAATGAGCCAAGAATATACACGAATGGTACAAGCAAGACTGTCATCAACATATATTTCATATCGAGGACTTAAGTGGATTGTGTCATAAAGTTTAAATTCTGCCACAACAGGACTCACACTTACTTTCCAGTCACAAATCTTTATCTTACTAATACAATTTAGGAACTCTTCGTATGATTTATATATAGGTTTAAAGGTAATAATACTATTTGAAATCATTGAAACATCTCTTTTAGCAACGATAGAAGATGCAGATTCCCTTTGTATAGGAATTGATGACATAAAACTTTTTTTTAGAAGACACAAAGTCGGTAATGATCCAGGTTTTAGTGACTTTCTGTTGTCGTTATGAAGTATCATTTCTGGAAGATAATGCTTTTCACAAATAAACAGACACTTTCTTTATATTTGAGCCTTCAAATTTATATCTTTAACACGATCTTTAAGAATGATGGCTATTAAATTTTCCCTCCAAGAAGTATTAAAACTATCGTTAGATGCAGGAACTTTAAATATTGAAACTCCGTTATGCCGAGAAGTACTACATCCATAAATAGAACAATTAGCACCAGGCATTTAAAGTATTGGATGAAGAAGATGCAATTTAGACAAGCAATTCATAGAAAAACAATCGATGAAAATAAATTTTGTGCACTCTGTGGCGGACTGGACACTAAAAAAATGCAAACAAAGACTTCATCAAAGGAATACCGCAAGTGGCCAGACTATCTTATTTCTTATGACTGATAATATCTGTAGATGTTTGTTTTATTGTTATTTAATTCTTTTGATTTATTTAGTTATTTGTTTGATTTAATTATATAGCTTCATGTTAGTTTAGTTGAAAATCAATTTTTATATATTATATATAACTCAATTAATATAACTTCAAGTTTAGACCAGGTTAACAAGATAATGTTCCATGCTCTCCTTATTTGCTTTACAAATAATAACCAAAATTGTTATCTACTGCTAAAAAATACTAAGAACTTATATAAAATCCATTTAAATTATTGGAGGTTATAAACTTGGCAAAAATAATTTTCAAACTCCTCTTTTAATTTTTTAAGTAGCTGAAACAACTTTTTTAACAATAATGGTTCTTCAAAGCATTAAATATATTCTAAGAAAATTTTTTTATTTTGATTAAAATACTTGATTTTTTTTCTTTCATTTTTATATTTAAAAAAATATTTTTATTTTTATTTGTATAATTTTTATGGTTAAAATTATTATTATGTTATGTTATGTAATTTTTGTATAAGTATTATAAATAGCTATATTTACTTATTATAGAATACTATATTTCAGATAACCAATGGTCATCTGAATATAAGATTCTAAAAAATTCATCTGTTTTGTGCAGTAGCTAAATAAAGTTAAAACTTATAGTGAATTCCTAAATAAAAGGCGTAATATATTCTGAGACTTTCTTTTTTTTGTTTAACAATTACCTCTTTTTTTTAATTTTATGCAGACTGTTTATCTTAAAATCACATATATTTATTATAGATATTTAATATGAATATTTCAAATTTTTTGAACTGCAACTTAAAACAACAATTCCGTTAAAGCAAAATTAGTGCTAAAACTACACCATGTAACTTCTGTAATAAAAAGTACTGGTTTCTATCAGCATTAAAATAACTTTTTAAATGGTGGCTACAGTTTTTTTTTTTCTAAATATGATTGAAAGATTACTAATAATACTGCAGTAAAATAATTTTTTTTTTACAATATAAAAAATTAATTAAGTTTCTTATTTCAAATTTTGCATACTCAAACATAAACAAAATGTTGTTATACTCAAGTCAAGCCTTCCCAGGAAACTTGTGCGGTTTTTTGTCTTGTATGTCCAGGCATGGGCATTTTAATTTAGACAACTTGGTTACAGACATTTGCAATTTTTATAACATGCGTTGCTGAAAAAAATTTAAAAGCAAAGAAAGCAAAATTAGAAATTAAAATAAACTTAAACAGAAAATAAAAATTATTAATACTTTAAATAATTTGTGTTCTGTTTTTATTTTTGTTTTTTCATAGTGGTTATTATTTTTTCAAAAAAAATGGGTTAAAGCAAAAAAAAAAAAAGGTTATAAACATTAAAAATAATAATTTTCCTATATTTTATTTGCTTGTTTTTTTTAAAAGAGGAAAGCAAAAAAATAAATTGTCATTTGTTTGTAAAATATATTTGTATAACTTTAATGTAATGAGTATATATCAAGAGTTGAAAATTAAGCAATCGCAATTTGCTAACTCTAGAAAAATATCTGGTTTTCAAAATTTTAGTTTATGCAAAGCAAATTATTATAAGTTTGTTGTCTATAAAGTTACAAAAGATAAAACAAAAACTTACAACTACAAAAGTAATACCACGCTAGTCACTAACTGCATTATAAAAGTAGTTTTATTATTTTTATAAAGCATTTAATGCTATTAAAATTCATAAAAGTTATAAGTAAAAAGTTAACTTAAAGCGGATATTTTACGAAAAAGTGAAATTATGAACAAAAAAAGCTTATAAAGGAAAGTTTAGGTTCCTTATAACTTAAATGGTAACACTATAATAATAATAACAATATTTATAACTAATTTGCAAACTAATAAGTTTTCAAGTCAAAAATACGTTTTAGAGAAATTGTAAAAACTGTTCTGTTTTCTAGGATCAATATTGATTGTATATGTTGTATAAGATATACACTTTACAAAATATTGGATTATTGTTTTATATAAGGTACCACTAAACTTATGTAGCAAATAAATATTATTTATTAACAATTAAAACTGAAGAATTTCAAATAAACTATAAAAAACAAGATTTTTATAAATGTCTGTTTAAGGAAACGTTTTTACTATTACGAGATATACACTGATAAAAAGAGAAAGCAAAAAATTTGAAGGGATCCATCAACTAATCGCATTTTTTTTATTTTTATTTACTTTATAAAAAATTTTAAAACTATAGTCTAATTTTTGAAGACTTAAACCAAGTAACTTTGCTAAAATTTAATCGCAAAACGCAAAGCAGACAGCAAATTGTCCGCTTTATGAAACGGTCCGTTGTAGGATGGATTTTTCATACATATATGTCCGTTTTAAGCTGATTTACAAACATATATATATATACATATATATATATATATATATATATATATATATATATATATATATATATATATATATATATATATATCAGGCTCTCCCAGGAAAGGCGTGCGGTCGCACGCCTTGTTTCTCCACGCATAGAATAAATTTTTCAGAAAACGTGACCGCTGCAATTTTTCGTGGGAAAGCGAAACTTATCCACAGAGAATTAAAAATAATATTAAAAAAAGGAAACGAAGTCTAAACAAAGTATAAAATTGAAATTGGATGTGAGAAAAATATTTTAATAATAAAAAAAAAAATTCAAAAAAAAAAAATTCTTGTAACAAAAAAAAAAAGTCTTGAACATTTTTTTCAAAATTTTTAACCTGTTTTTTTTTTTTTTTTTTTTTTTAGGGTTGCTATTTTCAGCTACGAAATTTGATACAAGTCAAGGAAAAGACAACTATAAGTCATTAAGTTTTCATGAAAATAAAAAGACTTGATACGTAACTTATTCACGAACTTTATCAGACAACGTATTAAAAAACTGATTCATTATTTACGCTAGACAAATTTAGTTAAATTTTTTAAGTTAATTTAGTTTTTACGAAGGTTTATGCAAACGCGATGACATTATTCCCCAATACTTAGACAAGAAAATAAATTGCTGTTTTAATTATTAAATATATTATTTGAGATTTTAAACATAACAAAATTTTAATGTGAAAAAAGTTCTCTCGACTTATTCTAAACTGATAATACTGAGTCAATGATCGCTTTTATTACGTTGAAATTATTCAATTGCATAATTTTGTAATTACGAAAGAAGTTAAAAAAATAACTGCATTGCTTCTGTTGTCATTGTTACAAAAACAGTTCCTTCGGGATATTATTGTATATTAACACTTGTTAACAATGTCAATTAATGATTGCAAAATAAAATAAACTCAATCGTTTGACAATAAAATTTTCTTTCATTTGAAAATAAATAAAAACATATTTTACAAATAAATAGCAATTGTTTTCGCGCTTTCTTGCGTATCAATACATTTAAACATTTAAATGTATTTACGAAACATTTAAAAATTGTTTATAGTTCTATCGTAAATTTTAAAGTATTACTGACTGATAAAAGTCATAAACAAATTTTATATTAAAAGTTTTATTTTCATTAAACTATAACCTTTTTTTTTTTGATTTTATTTTTCTTATTGATTTGATTTTTCATAGCTAAAATAACTACCACCCTAAAAAAAATATATATATAAATAAATAAAATATAGGTAAATTTTTTTTTAATATTAATTAATTTAATTTTTAATTTTTTAATTTTAAAGCACAAACAGATTTCTGTTATTTACTTTAAGATTGCTTGCATTTTAGCGGTATTTTCGTTTAGCTTTGTTTTGGCGCGAATATTTGAAATGCATAATAACAAAACATGGTCAGTTAATCAGAAAAATTTATTTTATGCGTGGACAAACAAGGCGTGCGACCGCACACCTTTCTTGGGAAAGCCTGATATATATATATATATATAAAATTATACATATATATAAAATTATATATATATATATATATATATATATAAAATTATATATATATATATATATATATATATATATATATATATATATATATATATATATATATATATATATATATATATATATATATATATAATTATGTATAAAATCAAAATAATCAAGATCTTCAATTGAATATTGGCTAAAAGTAGTTCAGTCATAGTTCGCTCATGTATAAACATATGATTTAACAAACTTCATTTTATATTTAAACACATAATATGGAGTACATGTGCAAACTTTGAATAAGCTCACTACAACACTCATGCAAAAGCACCACATCATTTTTGTTGAACATCTTTTCTCTTTTTGGTGTAAAATTGCTTTTAAAAAATCATTCTGTTTTAAATTCTTAACTAAAGATACTAAGAAATTAATTTTTTTTTTTTTTTAACAACACATTTATGATTTTTATGAATGAAAAATTAATTCATTATTAACTAAACTAAACAACAACACTTTTAACACAAATTTACCTTTGATGGAGATTTTTTAGAGATTTTTGATGGAGTTAAACTTCTCATTTTGTCATATAATTTTTTTGGTTTAGTAACAATACCAGTTAAGTGCATTTTAGCACGAATATCAGATATAGTAGTGTTTTCTACTTCAAAACTTTTTAAAATCATTTCTTCTTCCTCTAAACTCTATTTTTCCTGCCACTAGGAGAGTAAACAAGTGAATCACTTTTTGATTTAGATGCAGCTGAAAATTCATCTCGGTTTTGAAAAAACGATCGAACCGCTTTACCAGCACTAGCAGCTGTGTCTCGCCTTTTCTTTGTATAGTAATGTTTATTTGCAGTGAGTAAAGAATGACAAATTAGACAAGCAATATCTTTCTTATTTCCACTTTTTATTTGGCATACACCTGTGGAAATTCCTTTACGAATCAAGGTAGCACATATATTTTGTTTATTCATTTCCTTTTTGTATATTCCAGTCTTTTTCCAAAGAGAGCCTTATCGAAGGCTTATTGCACCTGAACTCATAGGTTGCCCACTCCAAGATGAAAAAATATTTTCATGCTTTGTCGAAATTTGTGATCTAACTTTATCAACAAATATACTTAACCATTTAAACTTTTGAGGTTCAAGTGTTATATGTGCATGACCGTAAGTATTAAATGTTTTATGCTTACCTACAGATATAATATAAGTTTCATCTGAAGTAATTTTATGGTCATAAAATTCGTCAATAGAAATATTGGCACATACTCCAGAATGATGGGCATTTCTAAAGAAAATTTCAAACATTAAATAATCTCTCATTGAGATGTACTCAGCTTGAGTAACTAAATTTTCACTTGAAATAAAAAAATTAAAATGCTTTCGAGATTTTTCAGCATGTTCAGAGTTAAAGTATGTTAATACTTGTTCTAGAGTCACAACATTGAATCACGGTCACGCTCTTGTCTTTGCCAAAAACATTTCTGATCTCTATTAAAAGATTTCCTCCAGTTAATCAATTTTAGACTTAGTTCTATTAAATCTGAGGCTTTACATCCTGATAACTGTAGAGCAGTTTTATCAAGAATTAAAGACGTGCAGAAATCATTTAAAGAAAATAAGTATTTTTTTATTGTTCCAGCTTATAAATTTTTTGCTTTGAGAAATATACTTTTCTCTAAAAATGTCAATATTGAAAATACTAGAGATATTATTTGTACAGCTAACAATTTGAAAATAACGTTTGATATCATAAACTGTTTTTACAGCAGAATTTTCTTCTCTATTATTGTCTATAGCAACCAAGTAATTTTGAAACCTTTCAAGTATTCCTTCAATCCCCTCATCAAGTATTGAAGGAAAAAATTCTACAGGCACATAATCATCATCATTATCATCTCTTGAGGCCACATCACTAGATAGTTCGCTATTTAAATCATTTTCAATATTACTTTTCCTTGAAACATCTGATTCCTTAATAAGTAGGGTTTTAATGATACTTTCAGTATTAATAGGAATATCAGACTTAAATTTTTTTGATGACTAAAGTAATTCTTTAAAATAATCATTACTAGAACTTAGCTTGTGAACTTTCTTGAGATGGTAGTCTATTCTTTTTACAACAGGCATGCAATAGGGAAAAGAACAACCCACTAAATCTGTTTTATTTTTCCTCTTACGTAAATTAGCGTAAGACAAAATTTTTCTAGCAATATCAGATGGTATATTATGTTTTTACCAGCAAAGTGGCTTGGCAGATCTAAGGTTTCTTTAGAACAACCTTCTATAATACATTTGATTTGTCTGTGTTTTACTAAGCTAAAAAGTGCAACAACAAAAAAAAAGGACAACTGAAAATC